GCTTCGATCTTAGACAAGTTCTGATCCATGCCTGCCATCTGTAGTTGTACAGTTGGCCCTCTGGCTCCATGGGTTTAGCATCTGAAAATTCAATCAACCAGAGAAGAAAACTATTTTGGGGGAAAAGTTGTCTCTGCACTGAACACATACAGATGCTGTTCTTGTCATTCTTCCCTAAACAATACAGCATGACAACTACTTACATAACATTTACATTATATTAGGTATTATAAATAATCTAGAGGTGATTTAAAGTATATGGAAGAAGGTGTGCAGGTTATCTGCAAATACTATGCATCTAAGGATCTGGGCATCCTAAGTGGAGGGTGTCCCAGGAACCAATCCTGCATGGTTACTAAGGGAGGGCTGTCTAAATAAACCTGGGCAAGTTTCTTCACTTCTCCAAGCCTCAGTTTCCTCACTGAGTCTGGGGACAATAATATTGATTCTCATAGAATGGTTTTTGGATCAGAAGAGATCACATCTGCATAGTACTTTGCTTGATGTGCAGTAATAAGTAACAGCTACTCAGTAGAAGCCAACTGTTACTATTATTGTTGTCACTGTTAATTCTATCAGTAAAGAGTCTAGTGGGGAAGATATAATAGTCTTTTTTGGAATTCCCCATTCTGTCTCCAACAAGAAGGTTGTTGGATGCTTTCATTCTACTTGGCATACACTCAATATGGCTTCTAGCAAAATTAGATTGGTCATTAGACATTGAGTCCAATTTCTTCACAGATTCGGGGGCAAAATATGAGTGTCTCCTAAACTGCAGGGCAGAACTCCTGAGCCACCAGCAGTACCCTTTCCCATGATATAAATGTCATCAGGCAAGCCCAGTGCACTTAAAGCCATTAGTTTCCAATTATCACCCAGCAGAGGTTGAAGTACTTCCCTTTTGGAGGACAAAAAAAGTAATCACAGTTATCATTCTAAATTGCCGCCTTTTCTATCGATTTTCACATTATCATAACACAAAGGAGCTCTGTGAGAGGCTGGGTTAAGAATCATCATTCCAACTAGGTATTGTTAGTTATTTTCTCCTTTCGTGGAAAGATGACCTCATATGTTGCAAGTAGAGAAGAAAACCTTAATAATGAAAGAATGGCCTTTACTATTGTGCTGGTTGGATTGTTCATCTCACTATTGTGTTATGTGTCAGCCCATTTCTATTTTAGGTGGCTTTGTTTTAAAATACATAATGCAGTTGTATCTGCCCACTTGCTATAGCTGCCAACTCCCAATTATGACCACAGAACCATCTGAGTTTTCATATGTCCCACAATCAATGTTTAAATATGATTTTTACTAAATTTATGTGTAATGATTGGGGGAGATGATGTGTTCTTAGCTATCACTGTTTGGAAGACTTGCCTGAGTTGTCTAAACTTTTTCTCTCTGAATCCCAGACCTCACCAAGGATTCCCAGAATCTGGCCCCCATCTAAAGGAGCACCTTTGTTCCTGGGAATGATCTTAAAACAGAAGGAAAGTTCCTCTGGGACCTGAAGTTGGGCCATAAGTGCAAGGTCTTCAAAGGACGTAACAGAGTAGGAGCAGAAGCTGTGGTCAAGATCATGAGTGGGAGAGGTATATAACCGGTGGGCCTAATGGGAAGGAAGAATAATTTGACAATAATGATGACCATTTGTTGAGTAATTTGCCCTGCTGGGTATTATACCCAGCACTGTGACTAATGTTAGCTAACAAGTTTTGGGTGGTTACTAGGTGCCAGAACTACACTAAGCATTTACAGGAATTATCTTATTGTCCTATCCACTGCCCTCTATCTTTACCATGGTATGGCATACAGGTGTGAGGCTCAGTGCTGCAGTTTCCAAGGCATTTCCACTGGTGAGCATCACCCTACTTTGGGATAGAAAAAGACTAAATTTGAGGACATGAACACCCTCCAGAGATTGGGGTGAATGAGACAATGTGATGGAAGTCAGTGGTAATGAATGGATAAGGTGGCTCTTCCAGGAGAAAAGCAGCCTAAAAGGAGGACATAAACATGGAAAGATTAAGGAATTCACTAAATCTCAGAAAGGAAATTCCCTCCTTCCTAAAGGCAGGTGTGCACGTATCATTCAATTACTAGAACGCTGTCATTTTGGAAACTGTAATACGATTGTCATGGGAAAGCATTTAAAAGACAATTTGGAAGGGTGAGTGAGAACTTTTCTAACTCAGAGTTGCTGATACTCTTTGGTAATGCTGTGCTTTTTAAATGTACTCACCAAAGTTCCCTCATGTTGAAGGGAAATTTGTATTCCTGAGATCTCGTCATTTCCCCTAAGTCTATTTTGCCTGAAAAAATTATGTTAAGAAGGGAGCAAAAATGGCTAACAACCATCACTAATGGTTAAGGAAATGCAAGTCAAACTGCAGAGAAGTACCATGTCACATACCTTAAGAAGGCTACAACCAAGAGACCAGCAACTACTATGTGTTGTTGAGGATGTGTAAATATTGGGACTCTTGGAAACTACTGTGGGAAATAACAGAGAAGTTCCTCCAAAATTACAAATAGAATTCCATAAGAGCCAGCAACTCTACTCTTGGGTATAGACCCAGAAGGGGAAAGCAAGGACTTGAAGAGATTTGTACAGTGACATTCACAGTAATGCCATTCACAATGGCCAAAGGTGGAACACACCAAGCAGCCGCTGACATGAATGGATAGACAACAGGTACTACCCACATGCAAAGGGATATTATTCTGTCTTTAAAAAGCAAAGAATTCTTGAAGCATGTTATGACATGGATGAGCCCTGAAGATATTATGCTAAGTAAAATATACTAGTCATATAAATATATAATTCCACTTACATGGAATACTTAGAATGGTCAAATTATAGACCGAAAATAGAATGGTGGTTGCCATGGCTATGGGGGGAGGGAAGAGAAGTTTTTATTAATAGGTACAAAGTACCATTTTGCAAGATGGAGAATTCTGGAGATTGAGGGCACAACAATGTGAATTCTTAAGTGTAATGAACTTTATATTTAAAATGGCTAAAGCAATATATTTTGTTTTATATACTTCACCATAATAATAAAAATATTAATATTATATTGAGTTTTTCTTTGAGAGTTGGGGACATAGCACAATAGTAAGGCAACGGTCTAGCAGTCATGAGGTCCTGGGTTTAATCTCTAGCACCCTAAAAGAAGGAAAAGAATTTTTCTTTGTATTCTACCTGTATTTCAGAAAACAGGATATAAAAAAAGATGTCTTGCGTTTGTTTTATTTATTGCTTATACCCTGGATTTGCATATCACAAAGTAAGAAAATGCCTTTAAGATAACTAGTTCTTATGTTGTCTTATTTTCTCCAACTGGCATTTACAGTACTTAGTGAGGAGCATGCAGACCAGCGAGCACAAATGTACTGGGCAGGTCACCCTGGCACCTGGCCACCAGAGACTCGCTGAAGGTTGGCAAATACACATTCTTAATAATAAAGCAGTTATGAGCATAACCAGCATAAGGCAGATTCCCAGGACCTGATCTCCCTAGAGAAAGGGGCGAGAGAGAAATTCTAAACCTGCAGACCTAAGGACAAAGCCTTGCACTGATGTTGACCCCAAGCACAGTCACTTCTCTTGAGCCCCAAATTGCAACAGACTTTGGGCTCTTTTGCTAATCAACCAGGAATGGTATGGGGACAAGAAGCTGAAGCGAGAGACAAGATCTTCAAAGAGAAGGAGGCTTGCCTCAAAGAGCAGCATCATAGGTGACGTCTCAGTGGCCCAAAAGGAGCAACACGGAACAAAGGGACAATATGGAGACAGGCTCTGGTGTGCCAGTTGCATACTTACACAGCATCTCAGCAACAATTTATTAAGTCCCAAGATAGTTAGGGGGAGGGAGTGCAGGCTCACAGGTGCCCTAAACAACCTGCTTCAAATGAAGTTAAATAATACAGCAGAGAGATGATATAATGAAACACAAGCCAGTAGGACACGCTCAAGAACTTAGTTTCTGCTGTCAAACTGCCTGGCCTTGGCTCCCAACTCTGTCTCTTCCTATCTGTCCTTGAGAAAATTGTATATTCCCAGTTTTCTCATCTGTAAATTAGGGATAACATGAGTACTTGTCTCAGGAGCTTGTTGTAAGCACTGAATAAGTAACATACAAGTAACACTTAGATCAGTACGAGGGCTGGTAAAACACTCGATAATGTTGACTCTTCTTGAATAGTGACAAATCACAGTAACAATTCATAAACTTCTGCTCAGAAGTAACCCCTGAGATAGGGCTGAATCTATCTACACCAGCTCTGTCTAGCATGGTCTATGATTTCTACAACTGTGCCTGTCATCTGAAAAAGATATATGTAGATGCTACAGTGGTGAATGAAATGCAAACTAATTAAAACTGTTATTTGAAATCATAGAAGCAATGACTACTAAATCAACTAGTGTTTACTGTTTACCTGGCATTCTTCTTGAATGAAAAATGAGGTCAGTCTTTTTCACGAGGGTCAGTAGAAAATAAAATTCATCCTACAATGTGTTAGGGTTGAACATAAAGGCTTTTCTTTTTTCCCCCGCCTGATGGTACTGTGGGTTGAACCAGGGGTGCTCTAGCACTGAGCTACAGCCTCCCTTTATTTTTTTCTTTCTGTTGTGGAGGTTGAACCTAGGGCCTTACACTGAGCTATATCTCAGGCTTTTTAAAATTTTCTTTATCTTGATACAGGTTCTTGCTAAGTTACCCAGGCAGGACTAGAACCTGTGATTCTGCCTCGGCCTCCCAAGTACCAGGATACAGGCATGTGCCACCTCTTCTGAGCATAAGAGCTTCTTGCATATTTTTCCTAGAGGAATAAAAGGCTCTGTGTTGTGGATGAAGGCTAGAATGAGAGCCAGCAAGCTCTGTCTCTGACGCCTAACATGGTTCATCATTGGAAGCCCCTGCTTTGTTTTGAGTCCCTTCTTGAACCCACTGGCCAGGGCTGACCAACGATGACAGGAGGGACATCGGACTTACCGGTCGGGGTAGACTGTACTGGTACATTTCTGGGCGGTAGGTCGGCACCCACTGCACGCCAGCCCTGGGCCGGGTCATGGTCCCCGGGGCACTGGTCACCACCTCGGAGTAGGGCAGGTGCTGTGTGGAGCCGTAGGCCTCCTGGTGGCGGCTCTGGCCGGCGTGGCCTGCGGATGCCAGGCTGAAAGCTTCCTCCAGCAGCATGTGCATCTGCTGCCTCACCTCGTCGATGGATGGCTGCGAGCTCAGTGTGGACGTCTCTGAGTGGCCTTTTACCGGCCTCGACCTGGCGTAGCCCCGGGGGTCGTGAACTCTGTCCACGTTGGTTTCTTCTATGATTTCAGGTTCTGTCTGTGGGACCAAACAAAGCCCAAAGGTTTGTTAACTAAGCTCTTTCTCATGAAGGTGGCCTATAATCTACTCTGAAATAATCACTCGGATTGATTATATTACATGTCTGTGCTAACTGAAGTTCTATCCTAGGTGTCCAACCAAGAAGTCATAGAACAGGGATTGTCAGCCTGCATTATATAAGAAAGGTCACACTCCAGCCACAATTGTACACTTCAATTATCACAGCCAGATGCACATTTTGCTAATTAGCATAGTAATGAGAAACAGCTTTCATGGATGGAATTCATAGTAGTCTCTAAAATTTAAAAAATCTCTTTTTAGTATATGTTTATGAAACAATGAATATACTGATTGTGGGGTATTGATACATGAACATTTTCTATACTCTATGCCTTTGAGTATAAGAATCTGGAGCAGCCTGTGGTGTACACTCCAATGGATGGTACTTTAGACTCTGAACAGACTCTGTAAGTGGTCTTGCATGCTACTATTGGTTAGAGAATTGTTGGTTGTCTGATGCCATTTATCAGGGTGGTGTACAATGAACTGGAAGCTCTGGGGTGGGGCCCCTGAACTTTGATAAGTGCCCTGGCAGATTCTGATTCCTGCTCAAGTTTGAGATTCACTGATGTAGAACATTCCCGAGTTTTTCCCCACTGATCCTCTCATTGAGGGAGCATCTGCAGTATTGGGTGTGCAAAGAGCTGGGACTTCACTAGTGTCAAGAGCAGGAGGCAACAACTGCCAATTACTCTTGCCTGCTGATAAAGGCTTGTTTAGTGTCTACTCCTTATTCTGAGGCTTCCCTGCCACTGTTGGCTGGGCCTCCCTAGGTATTCATTCCACCACACTGGTCATGCACAGTCTCAGGGTGTGGGAATGCACAAAAGCAGGAGCAAAGGAACTGCTCAAGTGATCACAGTCAGCTGCTCTGTAGCATCCTCTGCAGCAAGGGTCAGGCCTTAGGGGTGAGCTGAGAAGCTAAAAGATGGGGCACTAAAGATGTTCCAACCAGGAAAGTTGCTTTGACTCTTCGGTGTTTTGATAACTTCATTGTTAAAATGAGGATCATACTACTTCAAAAGATTTAATAAAGATTAGACAAATGTACACATAAAGATATATAATGTTAGCACAATAATGCAAGTTACTTTCATCATCATTATTCAGATGCACACATCGTCATGTGATTGCTATCTTTAAAGCACCTGGATGTCTACATGAACAGCGTAAGAAACTGCCATCAGGAACTCATTCATACAGGGAAGTCCTCTCCTAAATATTACACACAAAGGTCAAAACTATGACATACTTCATTTTAAAATAGGTATTAATTTTTCTTTACTTTTAGAGAAGAGACTGAAAATTCAGAAAACACAAACTTCAAATTAGACATTTCCTGTAATGCTATCATCCAAGCTTAAGACTTAGCTATAGTTCATGAAAGATAAGGTTCTCTGTAAACATTCAGATCTAGATTTAGTAGTTTAAAATCTTATTTTTATATGAACACAAGGAAGGATAGAATATGGCGTGGAATGTGAAATTACTCTCCAGATAGCAAAAAACTCAAAGACATGTCATGCCTGAGAGCCATGTCCCCAAACCCTGTGCTGGGTCATACTGAGGCTCTTCTGTTAGGGGATCCTTAGGGAAAGCCTTATGGTCACAGCCTGAGATGCACATTCTGCCAAGGCTGGAAAACTGCTGGTTGAGATTTTGCCTGGCTCTACTTTCCAAGATAGGGAGTGCAATTTCTGCAATTTTCTTCATAATGCACGAAACATTCTGAACTGAATTCACAGCCTGATGGACTTTAGGAGGTGATTTAATGCAAGTCCTATTTCTACGATGAGGAAGTCAAGGCCACAGTAGATAAATGACTTGCCCAAAGTCACCTAGGGCAGGGCAATGATAAAGGCCAGAGCTTCTATCTCTTGTGCCAGGCACATCCTGCTCTAGGGTACTGCCTCATTAATGCTGGATTACTACCCACACAGAGCCCTTCCTCCTACATCCTCAGTCTCACTAATACGTAATGGATGCTCAGTGCTAAACTGCTCCCAGGTGGGAAGTTAATGGCACTGGTGGGGAGCTAAGTTATGATTTTCCCACCCCTGAGCTGTACCATGCCTTTTCAGCCATATTGGTAAGTCTGTTATCATGTGAATTTATAGTTGTGAATTAGGCAGGACAAAAGTGTGCTTTGTAGCAATATCTCCCTGCTATCCTGCTCCCCAAGACTCCTCCCTGTGGGGAGAGGCGTGGGGAAGCATTACTTTTATAAGGGAAGTGGTTCCCATCACCATCTACCTATGACAATAAAAATTAACTTCTACCTCTCCCCACAGGGCTTCCATTAAGTATGGAGAGCTCCCTCTAACTGGAGGGTCCAGAGCATAACTCAAGTATGACTTCAACAGGTTTGTTCAAGCCATATTCTAAAGAACTTCTGTTTCCCCGCAGCTCTCAGATTGTTTTTCAGTCTCTTGATATCTGCAGAGGAAAACATGTCCAGCTCTCATCAGGCCTAAGCTTTCTCTCATCCCACTGGAACTGCTTAACGTCTGCACTGCCACAAAGTAGACCCTCCCTGAGTCACCACACCTCTATTTCTGTGAGCCTAGCATAAGATGCTTGGCATTCAATAAGACTTCGTGAACTTGGCATGAAATTAAAAGTCTGTCCAATTCCCCATTGACTGAGTTTGAGGTTAAAGGGCCCACTTTCCTTAGCACCCTCTGATGCTAATGAGATGCACAGCCAACTACACTCAAGGTGCATGACTCCCTAAGCCTCGTGCTTCTCCTATTGGGAGAGTTGAACTGTGTCCAATATTCACTATTTCTGTAACTCTGTCTGCCCTAAGAAGTGCCATACTCCTCCATTAGCATCACCCTTGGAGTAATCTCATGCCTACTCATGAAGGGAAACACCCTCCACCTCCCTGCCTGCAACATATGATTCATATATTTGCTCTTTTACTTATCACACAACTATTGGTTTCAACTGTATGCTGACTTCTGGGGTGGTGTTATGAATCTAACAATTAATAAGACTGTGTTCCAGCTGGAAGGAGCTCCTACGAAAGGAGATAATAACAGCAAAATAGTATCAGCCAGCCATAACTTACATACCAGATACTGGTCTAAGAGCTTTTACATATTGAATTTTTAACCTTTTTGCATTTTTGAGATGGTCATGCTATGTAGTTCAGGCTGGCTGTTAAGTCACTATCTGGCCCACTGGCCTGGCCTCGAGCTTCCATGCATCGGGATTACAGGTGTGCGCCACCGTGCCCAGTTCTTTCTACTCTTATAATAACCTATGCAGCAATATTAACAAGTAGAATTAGTCCTATGTTACAGATGATAGAATTGAGGTGTTGAAAGATCATAATTGGCAGAAAGTTTAATTCTAGCACCCACTGTAGACAGGTAACAGATCCAATACCACACCACCATTCTGGGCTCAGGCTGAGGGCTGAACAGATATCTCTTCCCAGGAGGACAGCTGATAAGATAATTATTCAGACAGGCTGCCTCAGAGATCACTCTAAATACGCAGCACTCAGAAGTCTCTGCACATGAGCATTTTGATAAATGCTCACTGGCTGAGACTGTTGTTATTTGACTCCTGGCACAAACTGGGGGCTCCTTTAGGGTAGGATCACTGTGTTGACAACCCTAAAGCAGGGCCCAGCTCTGAAGTGAAGCCAAAGTAGTTCACATAATAGGTGCTTACATCTACTGCAAGACCTGTGATGGGCCGGGCCTGTGTGGGATTTTCTGCACACCTCAGCTCACTCAGAATCTCAGGGCCATCACCCCTGTACCCATTGTCAGGTAAGGGGCCAAGTGTGCTGGTTTAGCATGTCCTCAGTCTTTTTTTCTTCACTTGCACATTTCTGAAAACACTTTTGCTTAAGGAGACAAGATCAAAACCTAGTGCTAGTTGATGGTTGGCTTGGGTAGAATATCTGTGATCAAATTTGGGGAAGAAGCTTTATTTTTATTCTTCTTTAACTTGGCAGGTACTACACTTGCTTTTTCCAAACTTACACTCTTGAAAAGTATGAGGGAATTATTTTTTAAACTTCTCTTTTATAAATTAATCAAGATGTACTTCAATAGAAACTCTGAAGAATTAATCAAGGTATGTCTGTTCATGGCAAAAAAAAAGTCAGAAAACACAGATAAGCAAAACAAAGAAAATTAAAATCCATTCTAATTCAACTGTCAAAAATAACTACTGCTAACATGTCAACCTTCCTGAATGTCCTTCAGGGTGTTTCCCTGCGATCAGAATGGGATGATGGTTATAAAGGTGATGCACTGCCAGCCCCATGCCCAGCCCCAACACCTCCGCCCAAGCCACAGAGAGCTTGGCCCAGGTCAGCTTCTGCCCTTGCAAGGAGGGCCCACCCTTTACCGTACAGAATCTTTAGCTTATGCGTGAGGGAGCAGGAAGTGGGGATAGTATATTAGTCAGCTTTTACTGCTGAGACAAAATACCTGACATTAATACACAACTTAATGGAAGAACGATGGATTTTGGCTAATGGATTTCAGTCCATGGTAGGCTGGCTCCAACGGTGGAAGGGAAGGAAGAGAGAAGGAAAGCGGCTCACTCATGGCAGCCAGATAGCAAAGAGCAGAAAGAGCCAGGTGGGGATGGGGCAGAGGACAGGATACACTCTTCTAGGTAACACAACACCCCGGCGAACACTTCCTCCATCACAGCAGAACAGCTGCGAACTTACTAATGAGTTGATCCATTGATGAGTTAATTCCCTCCAATCCAATCAGCTCCCCAAAGCCCTATATCTGACCACATGAGCCTTTTGGAAGACAATTTTGATCCAAATCACAACAGATGGGAAACCTAAGTGAGACAGAAGGTGTGGGCTGGAGGAGTTTTAGGGGCATTTTTCCAGACAGATAATATGAATAGCAAAGAAATTAGGGGAACTTAAAAAGTATTACTGCGCATGATAT